TCATATTTTATTAAATTTTTGTCACACTCTCTTTCCATCTGGTGTTTCCATGACTGTCTCCACTGTGTGTACATCATGTGAAGAACCCTGCTGTGCGTATAGGATAGATTATGTTGGGATTATATGCAGTGTTATATGGAGGAAAATGAGTGAGGCAGTGGTGAATCACTTGCATTGACTGACTGAGGGAGTGGCACTGGGCCCACAGCAGGACAGCAGCTTGAGGAACCGCTGTTTAATACTTTTTTTGCTTTGGCTGGGAGTGTTACCTGTAAGTCACCAACCATAATAGAGGGTTAGAAAAAGAGAGCACAAAAGGCATGCATACAGATCGGCCAGACACACACACACACACACACCGAATGCATGCACAACAATGCAATCCACATGTGTAAATTATTCATGAACGGACCATTTTATGTGAAGTCCATATGGAAAACAGATCTTATGACCCAATGGATGGAAACAAATTTTCAACATGTCAAAACATTTGCCCAGTTTAATGTTTGTGAATGCAGCTCACACCTTTGACTGATGGTGGTATGAAGAGTGAATGGGAGTCTCTTTACAAAATTTGGGCTGACCATTTACAATTTACATGACAGCATCGCTTCACGCTAGACATTCAAAACCTCAAAAGCTGAAATGCAAGCTGTATCTGAGGTCTTTACCTGAATGTGGCTGAAGTATGTAAGGTGTCCAGTTGAGGGGAGAAAGTCCTTAAAATCTGTCTGCTTTTTTAATGAGTTAATGGTTGAGTTTTAAGATAGTTGGAAATGGCTCTGTTGAGGTAGCAGGGAACATCGTCAAGCAACTTCATAAAATTAATGGGGTGATTTAGAACAATGTGGCTGATTTATTTGATGACACTGACTTGCCCAATCATCCCCTCAGGAACGCAGTAATAAAGATGGGATATCTTCCCTTTGGTTTGAGGACTTGCCTGACTACTCTGGCAGTCCAATTAAAGAGTCAAAACATTAGTATGTTTACATGGACAACAATAATCCGATATTAACCAGATTAAGATGATACTCTGATTAAGAAACTAGCATGTAAACAGCAATTATTGATTATCTTATTCTGACTAAAGTCATACTTGAAGTAAACACAAATCACATTAAGACGTGGGGTATTCCTATTTTAGTCGCATTATATTCATGCACATGTACACACCCTATTCACACTATTAACATCATGTAGGAATTTTCAGCACATTTTGTGACAGGACATGTACACACACAATAGTGCTCAAGCGTTTAATGGCAAACAAGAGAGTGAGGCTGCGTACGAAACCACATACTTACCTGCTATACAGTAGGTGAAATACACATTTCGGTTAGTATATAGTAGATAAGTATGCGGTTTGGGACAAAGCCCACGGCTTCAAGCAGTTGTCTATTTGGACATACAGCATGACAAATAATTAACTGCACTTCAAGCGTTTATAAAAATTTTAAATGAAACACCCAAAACTGTATACGGTCCCATAAAGTAGACCAACTGTATGTTTATACGTGAAATTCTGTAGGGAACGTTGGACAGCGTGATGAAGTATTGACGTGTGCCGTTAATTGGTCTATGTTCTATAACATGTAAAACGGGAACATGAAAGGAATATTCTAAAAGCAACTCATATAAACACCGTAATCACAATATTGTCTCATTCAGAATAAGGTCAATAATTAGATTGCTGCTGTCCATGTAAACATATTCAATGACCACTCAAACTGAAGGATGGCAAGGTGTTGTAATTCAGGGCTGACCCTACACTCTGACCCCGCTTCCTGACATGCTGGGGTATGAAAAGAAAACAATTTCACTGTGCATACAGTATCTCACAAATGTGAGTGCACCCCTCACATTTTTGTAAATATTTGATTATATCTTTTCATGTGAAAACACTGAAGAAATGACACTTTGCTACAATGTAAAGTAGTGAGTGTACAGCTTGTGTAACAGTGTAAATTTGCTGTCCCCTCAAAATAACTCAACACACAGCCATTAATGACTAAACCGCTGGCAACAAAAGTGTGTACACCCCTAAGTGAAAATGCCCAAATTGGGCCCAAAGTGTAAATATTTTGTGTGGCCACCATTATTTTCCAGCGCTGCCTTAACTTTCTTGGCATTGAGTTCACCAGAGCTTCACAGGTTGCCACTGGAGTCTTCTTCCACTCCTCCATGACGACATCACAGAGCTGGTAGATGTTAGAGACCTTGTGCTCCTCCTCCTTCCATTTGAGGATGCCCCGCACATGCTCAATAGGGTTTAGGTCTGGAGACATGCTTGGCCAGTCCATCACCTTCACCCTCAGCTTCTTTAGTAGGGCAGTGCTCGTCTTGGAGGTGTGTTTGGGGTCGTTATCATGCTGGAATACTGCCCTGTGACCCAGTCTCCGAAGGAAGGGGATCATGCTCTGTTTCAGTATTTCACAGTACATGTTGGCATTCATGGTTCCCTCAATGAACTGTAGCTCCCCAGTACCGGCAGCACTCATGCAGCCCCAGACCATGACACTCCCACCACCATGCTTGACTGTAGGCAAGACACACTTGTCTTTGTACTTCTCACCTGGTTGCCGCCAAACACGCTTGAACCATTTGAACCAAATAAGTTTATCTTGGTCTCATCAAACCACGGGACATGGTTCTAGTAATCCATGTCCTTAGTCTGCTGGTCTTCAGCAAACTGTTTGCGGGCTTTCTTGTGCATCATCGTTAGAAGAGGCTTCCTTCTGGGACGACAGCCATGCAGACCAATTTGATGCAGTGTGTGGCGTATGGTCTGAGCACTAACAGGCTGACCCCCCACCCCCAACCTCTGCAGCAATGCTGGCAGCACTCATACGTCTATTTCCCAAAGACAACCTTTGGATATGACGCTGAGTCCATGCACTCAACTTCTTTGGTCGACCATGGCGAGGCCTATTCTGAGTGTCCTGTTAAACCGCTGTATGGTCTTGGCCACCGTGCTGCAGCTCAGTGTCAGGGTCTTGGCAATCTTCTTAAACCCTAGCCCATCTTTATGTAGAGCACCAGTTCTTTTTTTCAGATCCTCAGAGAGTTCTTTGCCATGAGCTGCCATGTTGAACTTCCAGTGACCAGTATGAGGGAGTGTGAGAGCGATGACACCAAATTTAACACACCTGCTCCCCATTCAGGGGACAGCAAATTTACACTGTTACACAAGCTGTACACTCACTACTTTACATTGTAGCAAAGTGTAATTTCTTCAGTGTTGTCACATGAAAAGAAATAATCAAATATTTACAAAAATGTGAGCTGTGTACTCACTTTTGTGAGATACTGTATATGTTATAAGTAATCATTGTCATTATCATTATGCCAAGGACACTCATGTTAGAAGAACAAACTGAAACTCCCTGGTGTAGGCTTAGTGTTGGTTAACATTGATTGTGCAGATTTGTGGACCTGGTTGCAGTGGAAAGGAAAGAGAGCAGAGTATCTCAGTCCAGATCCTAGAGTGTCACTGTCCTGCACAGTTTAGTGTTTGTGTCTTCACCATACACTCTATAACACAGAACAACACATTTATTCAACCTGAGACACGCTGAGGTTTCTACACCATCTGGACATTTAGTTTGACTCAACCCTGGTACATATACATTGAAGACATCTGGCAGATGCCCTTATCCAGAGTCACTTAAAAGATTTTTTACAGAATGCAATAGAAAGATAGAAATATATAGTAAGTTAACTTGTTGCATGTATGGGCTTCAGTTATTCAGTTGTTTCCTAACTCAATTAAAAAAAAATCAATAAAAAAATACATTAAAAAACAACAACTGAGAAACAGGACAGAAATGGGAAATGGAATGGTAACATTCAGTATTAATTTTATACACGGTGATACAGGATCCATGAGATTTGGTGATTTCTGTGAAATGGCCTATAGATATGTTATACAAGGTAGAACTTGCCTTGTGGTAAAGACAGGTAATGATATGCATCCCCACAAACCCATATTTTATACCAAAAACATGCACTACATCACCCTGCAATGGATTTTGCTGACCAGGCTTCAGAGGCTATTTTTAAACATTAAAAATATAACACCACATATTAGGAGCAGCGATCTTCCAACTTGGATGAAGACCACATATTTTCAAGGTCAAGTGCATACTTGGCAGTTTCAAATTGTCAATTAAACAATTTACATTTTCATTCTTCAGCAAGACACACAAGCCAAGAGTCTCTCTGGACTACAGTTCCCAGCAGCCACTGCACCCCACTGCATCACTGTCACATGACCACCTGCACTTCATTCACATTAAGGAGCATTCACATTAAGGAGATGTTAAGGAGCACTTGTGTGTGTATATATAGGCACAGCTTACACTAAATTCCTTTTCTTGCTTTGATCGTCTTTGGTTGTAACGGAATGCTCGCCTATCTCTTATGTACTGTTTTATGTTTGTTTTCCTTTTCATGTGTTCATAGTGTCCTTTTTGTGTTTTGTTTGGATTTATATTAAACTTAATCTGCACTTGCATCCGGCTCCGCCTCCATATCGTAACACTAAGCAACAAACGCTATGACCCTTCTCTTGGGAGCAACAGAATACCAATTTTCCATCTCACTCATGTTCAACATTCAAGGACAAAAATCACTTTTAAGCATCTGTTTCACATAATGTTGATCTGAGATATCATTCAGATTCTTTAACTACACATCCCAGATCAACACAGCCAGTCTTTATAATGAGATTCATACATCTTCAGTAAGCACTTCATCCTTGTCAGGGTCGTTCGGTGTGAGGCAGGAATTCACTCCACATGCGACCAGAGTCCATTGCAAGTCAGAATGCATACACACTTTTGATAACTTGGATTAGCCAGTTCACTTAATGGCATTAGTAACCCCCCCTCCCCCCGCAACCCTCCCACCCAATACTCAAGGGTTTCCTCTGGATTCCCTGGTTTCCTCCCGCAGGAATTCCTTGCGGACACACGAAAAACTGTGATAACTGTATATATTAACCTGAACCCAAATTCGAACCAGGGACCCTGGGGCTGTGAGCCAGCAGCTACCATCTGCACCACCAAGCCACCACTTATACTAAAATACCTAATTAAAAACCAGAATGGCAAGAACAAAATTTAACAATTGCTATCAGTGCATACAGACATTATGAAACGGTTGCTATCAAGAGTTATTGACAATATTGTCTCAAAAGATGCCGGTGTGTTTCAGTGTTCTCAATTAATGCAACACCTCTCAAACTTTTTGCAGCCTGAGACTCATCTGACTATAAAATAAATTCCACACAAAAAAAAAATATCATGGACACCACTCTGAGAAACACTGCTTCAGTGTCATCTCTTGTGAACTCACTTGCTGCTGCTATTCTTCTGCCATGAGGTGTGAGATTTGAAGTCCCTGCAGCACTGTATATGAAGTGAGAATGGCCAACATGAAATCTGACAAATGTGCCAAACTAGATCATATAGATCTTATTTCTCACACCTGGTAAAAAACCCACCTAGAACACGTCTGCACTAGTGTGCAGTTGCTCAGAAGTGTTCAATTTCAGTTTTGTCAGGGTCACGATAGATCCAGAGCCTATTCCCTTAACACTGGGTGCGAGGCAGAAATTCACTCCAGATGGGACACGAATTCATTGCAAGTAACCATGCACATACACCTTCTGGCATTGCCCTTTTCCCCATATATTCAAGGGTTTCCCCTCTGGGATCCCTGGTTTCCTCCAACAGGAAAGCCTTGAGGATACAAGGAGAACATACAGGGATAAATCCACATAGTATCCTGAGCTCAAGTTTGAACCAGGGAGATGTGACGCAGCAATGCTACCCCTGCATCACTGTACCACCACTTACACTAAGAAACCTAATAAACAGCCAGAAAGCCAGGAACAAAATTCAGAAGTTACTGGACACTTACTCTTGCCCCTTTACCACCACAGTAAAAATAACTTGAGCTTTCTTAGTGCTGCTCCAGTAGTTTGACTCAAGAATATAGTCAGGTCACAAAGATAAGTGTCATCAGTGGTATGCACCGAAATAATAATAGTCACATTAAGCTATGATTTCAAGCAGTAAAAAATGCCTATTGATTCAGATGTAAGATCAAACAAAACGCATGATTGGAGGAGTAGAAAAGTGTTTTCAAGAGATATGTAATTACAGTAATCAGTCTGGTCAGAATATTTAATGAATATACAGCCATCACCATTACTCTTTGCTCTCCAGAGTTAATGCAATGCATGGAATTGAACTTACTACCAAGATTTAAATCAATTGACCTCAAAATGCAAATGCCCTGATGTGGAAAAATTAGCTGGAGGGGCTCATTTATAATTAAGTATATAATTGCAATTGTGAACATAATGAAAAAAAAAATTACAGGATAATTGTCTAGATTTTTTTCTATATTTCTGTCTAAAATGTAAAATTGTAGCCATTTACTTACAGTAACATATGCTTCCATCTATTAGGTATTCATTAAATGTTATCATTTAACCAGCAACTTTAGCTATCGAATTCAATTAAACTAAAAATGTATTGACATTTATGATGATTTTTTATAAGCAAGGTAGGCAGGATTATATCTTATATAAGCAGGTTAACAGTTGTTATCAATGCATACAGACATTATGAAATGGTTGGTATCAATAGTTATTGGCAATTTTGTCTCAAAAAAGATGCCAGTCTGTTTTAGTCTTCTAAATTAGTCTTCATAATTAGTAAATTAGACTCTCAAACCTTTGGCAGCCAGGGGCCCGTCTGACTATAAAATAAATTCCACAGACTCCCAGTATAGATTAATTATATGTACATAATCTGACTATTCAAATATTAGGCATATTTTATTCAAATGTGTATAATATTATAGCTATTTACTGGAGGCATAAGAGCTTTTCATACCTGAACTTTCCACCAGCAGTACACATTAAGTCCAAGTTGACATTATTTATAGGCAGAGTTGTGTTTCATTTACTGATGTTGGGACTGAACCCATTGAAGTTAAGAAACAATTTCAACAGGCTAATAGTGCAACAAAACTCAATAATAAATGCAATCACTTTGATAATAGTGGGTTTTGATATTCACCATTGTAAAAATAAATAAATATGGACACCACTTTGAGAACCACTGCTTTAGTCTCATCTCTTGCTCGTGTGTACTCACTTTCTGCTGATATTCTTTTGCCATGAGGTTTTGAATTTAAATCGAAATTAAAATTTTTTATCAACTTCCCTGCAGTATATGAAGTGAGAATGATTACCATGAAACCTGACAAATGTGCCAAACTAGATCATATTGATTTATCACATTTTATTTCCCAGACCTGGTTAAAATTCTCATAGAACATGTCTGCACTAGTGTTTATCCTAAGAGATAAATGGACATGCAGTTGCTCAGAAGTGTTCAATTTCAGGTTTGTCAGGGTCATGATAGATCCAGAGTCTATTCTGGTAACAGTGGGTACGAGGCAGAAATTCACTCCAGATCCATTGCAAGTCACCATGCACATACACTTTTGGCAATTTAGATTAGCCACTTGACCTACTGGCATTTCCCTTTCCCCCATATATTCAATGGTTTCCTCTGGGATCTCTGGTTTCCTCCAACAAGAAAGCCTTGAGGATACAGGGAGAACATACAGGGTTATGTCCACGCATAAGTCTACATAGTATCCTGAGCTCAAGTTTGAACCAGGGCACCTGGAGATGTGAGGCAGCAATCCTACACCTGCATCACAGTACTGAACTTACACCAAGATACCTAATAAACAGCCAGAAAGCCAGGAACAAAATTTATGTCAGAAGCTGCAGATGTGTTCAATTTCAATTTAGTCCAATGACTGAAAGCACAGAAAACACAAAGCTTAGAACACTATGTTAGGATTGGCATCGGTTATTCTGATGACCAATCACAACTTTTAGAGCCTGATGGAAATTAAATTAAGTTTATTCCTGTCATGGGTTGTTGGGAAATTATAGAAATAAATTTACATGAAGAACTAATTTTGCAACAGAAGAAGTACTATTCTATGATTGATTATCAGGAACAATCAGAATCTAAAGTCATTAAGATTACATGGATTTTTTTGAAAACTTATTTGTTAAGGAAATCTATATCCTGTATGAAACGACATATTGCAGTTCTGTTGATAAGAGCATTCCGCTTGATGTTAATCTTTTGCGCATGAAACAGAAAAATGAAAAGTACAAAAATGTTTTGAGTTTCAAATATGTTTTGGCGATCTCGGCTATCTTATCTTACCTTCACCAGCAAAATCAATTAAGCCCAAAAAGTGCAGGAGCCTGAGGGAGCTGCAGACCACCAACAGAATGCCGACTGTCTGCATGCCCTCCAACTCCCACTCTTCTTTGAAGAACACCAACATGATGCCCACACAACACAAAAGTTCTTCCTGTCTTCATCCGAGGCTGCCTATGTCCCACTGTCTGTCACATTCACAACCTCACATGCTGTCATTGTTTGTAGAGCTCCAGAAACATGTCTCTACAAACATCTCCATGCTATTTCTGTTCCACTTTCTCAGTTATTTTCTTCCTGCCGTGATCTTTGCGGTGGCTCCCAACAAAAGAATTATCCAACAGAAGAATTATCTCCTAGTTATGGACTAATAATAAATCAGCCACAAAGGCAAGAAAGGATGGAGTCCAAGGTTTAGAATCCACAGGTTTTAAATCTGTGGCTCTACATGTCTCATTAGTCTCACCAAGTAATGGTAAGAAAAACAGGCTTGAGGAGTTGACTTTCAGCACTCTAATAATCCAGTCCTTCTCCCTTGTGGATCTGAGTCACACATGATTTCATTCTCTCTTTTCTGTTACTAACTTCCTGAGCTTAATTGGGTCACTTTCGTGTTTTCTGAGACCCCGGAGGCTTGTGTGTGTGGGCGGGGGGGTTGGTATATGGGCGGGCAAGAGTAGGCACTCTGACAGATGTGAGACCCTTTATTTCTTCCTCACCAACTCTCTCTTTCTCTGCTCTCTGGTCTGATTGCCTACTTATCTCAGAGCCATAGCCCACAGGTGACAGAAGACAAATACACACACACAAACACACACACACACACACCCACACACACACAGTAGCCCCATTATCCTGGCACACACACTGTGCCCACAGGGAAGCAAGTGTCTGAGTAAATTTTATGAAACGAGCTAAAGCATAGGAACTTATAACAGAAAACCAATTTGCACTGGACAAAGACTATGATTTTTTGGGATTTTGATTACTAAATGTTTCCGTGTATAGTATACATACTTGCAAATGTGAGAACACCAACAAAAAAAAAACTGACTTATTAACAGGTTCTATTAAGAATGGTATCTTTCAATGAATACACCCATTTTTTTCATGCCTTACCTTACCTGCCTGATCCATCATGATGCCCTACTTCTGGTTGGAGTTCTCATCAACTGGCAGTCACATGCTGCTGCTGATAATGGTCTTACATGGTGCAGTCTAAAGATCATTAAGATTGCTGAGGATAGTACCACTTAAAAACCATAAAGATGGCTTGGACCTCAATTCATATGAACAGTTATGCTATGATGGCTAGGACTACAATTGCTCTGATAGTTTTAGGACTGCAATTTCCACAAACAGTTTTGCACTCAAGTCTCCATCAGTGAACAGTGGATAAGTTCAACAGAACAGACTTCATGTAGAAACTGTAATGAATTTTCCTGGTTACACAACTGCACTATTTGACCATGTAGTATTAGCACATTTATAGAAGGGATTTCTTTATTTATAATCGTGCTATCCAGTGTCACCCAGTTGAGGATGGGTTCCCTTTTGAGTTTGGTTAATCTCAAGGTTTCTTCCTTATATTGTCTCAGGCAGTTTTTCTTTGCCACTGTCGTCTCTGGCGTGCTTATTACGGAAAAATGCATACATTTAAAATCTATCTCCTGAATTGAAATACTTCTATAAAGCTGCTTTGGGACAATGTCCATTGTTAAAAGTGATATATAAATAAAACTGAATTGAATTGAATTAATGAACAAATGTATGTCTAGCACCTGCATTGTGATTTGTTAAAGATT